TCCCGTATGTCTTGTCAAGAAAAATCAGAGTGATTTTGGATCCTGTGCTTCCGAACTTTATGATGAGAGCTAATGTCCACCCCTGTACGTGTAAATCATACATAATTTGTGGTCATTTCTGTAACGAGCGCAGTCTGATAGGGATAAGGTCTTACGAACAGTCTAAATGGAAAGTTTCAATCGCTAAACGTATGAGATGCAGAACGCTTTCTAAAATCCGTATTCAGATGCGCTTCTCGATGACACATATAGCGAATTCGACCCTGGCTGGTGGTGTAGCAATTGGTACGACCGCGAACGTTGTGCTAATGCCTCTTCATGCATTGCTCGTTGGCGCTGGAGCCGCAGTGATCTCCGTCCTCGGATATGCTTATGTCACGGTTCGAATATTATTTCCTCATGAGTCTCTTATGAAATTCTCATCGAGCAATGAAAAGATTCTTGTTTATCATACCAGTATACATGAAAATTGTTCATGAAATGAAAATTCAATACGGACACTCCATATCTTATGTGTTTTCGAACCAAGAAAACGATAATTTATTCGGTTATTCTGGAAACTGCTTTTGATAATGTTGTCAATTGCTGTGATCTTGTCTATTGATGTTTGTCACGTTTGAACATCATGCTGACTGAAGTGGATTTTCAGCCGTTCCTTGCACGCAAGATGCGTATTCACGACACGTGTGGTGTAAACAATCTCCATGGAATGCCAGGTATGTCCCTCAGCAATCAGCATTTACTATTTCGGTCACAATGATCATACTGATAAAGAACAAATCGCCTGTATTGCAATGAATCTTGCATTAAAAGAACTCTCTCAACTAGATTTCAAGAATTTATTCAGCCAGAGCATATTGAACTCATTCGCAAGCAAGCAAGCAAGCAATGCTTACAATACAGAAGTGTTTCATTCATGAGTGGTTCGAAAGAATGAACAGGTCGTAGAATTTTTCACAAATTTTAGGAGTTTACGCTGGTATTCTTGGTTTCATCTTCGCAGCTGTT